CAGTCTTCTTAACGTGTGTCTGATAGATCTATACTTCCTTCTGCATATTTGTTGGTCAGTAGGTTCTTGGTTGGCTCCTGGCCAGTGTTTCTTGTTCATGATCCTTTTTGGCTGGTTATCTCATCTTCGGTATGCAGCCAGCAAAGGCAGCTGTTGGAGATGCTTTTCGTGACAAGCGCGCAAAGTTTACTGACCAAACAGAAGCACTGAATTGACATTAGTGTTGAGAATTTGGATCCTGCTCTGGGTGCTGAGTGTTATTGACCTTCACACCAATTACAAAGGAATGGACGTCTTCTTGCCTACTTTTGACATACTCATTTGTGCCACCTGTCGTTGAGATGATATTGCCTAGATTAATGAAAGTGATGACTTATTTTTTATATTTCTCTGATTGATGGTGACTGGTCAAATATGTTGATGATCTGACTGTATCACTGCCTATCACTTCCAAGTCTGACTGCTCCAAACTTAATAACTTTCTGTTGGACATCAGCAAGTGGTCTAAGTCAAATGGTCTTGTGTTAAATCCTTCCAAATGTCAGGCAGTTAACTTTACTTTCAAGCATAGACGTGACATACATGAACTAGTTAGTTCCCATGATGCCTGTAGCATAGATGGCACTGAAATTGAAACCAAGTCAAGCATTAAATACCTTGGATTAGTTCTTTCCTCTGACCTTTCATGGTCATCCCACATCTTATCAATCTCTAAGAAAATGTTTCCTCTTACCTTCTACATTAAAAAGTTAAGACAACAAGGTATCAGCCAACTTTTAGTTCTGCAATTTTTAAACTCCTGTATTTTACCTATTGTACTCTATTGCTCTCCATTAATCTTTCCTGGGCTTCTTAAAAAAGACTATGTCATATTACGAAGGGTATTAAATGCTGTGAGTAGGGCTTGTGGTTTGCCACTGCGTGAGCTCGCCAATACTATTGCCAATAGACACATAAATTCCTGTACAAAATGGGCAAAGGCCGTACTGTCAGACCCTCTGCACACCCTTTATTCACAACTATCCCTTTGTATCTCATCAAGTAGGACGAGAAGTCAATATAAGAAATTAAATGCTCGTACCACTAAGTACAAAAATTCTACAATACCGTATTTAGCCCGTATTTTATTTGATGAAGACTCTGTTAGACGTGAAACATATAAGTTACTATTTAATTAGCAAAGTGAATCGACCCTTTCATTGTTTATCTTTCTGTAATTTTATGGTGTCACTCTTTCTATCGTTTAATTATAACTTTGCTATTTTTTATTTTAGTTGTTATTACTATTATTACCATAATTTTATATTTTTTACATATTTTCCTCCGCACTGCATACAGTAATTTGCTACAAAGCTGCTATAACAACATTTTGTTATTACTATTATGTAATGTTTATTTTTTGTCGTTTTGAGTAAATTAGATGCAATATTGTACTGAAATGCTGAAAATTCTTTGCTGTTTCATTAGTACTAATTTCGAATAAAGCAAATTAATATTATTATTATCAAGGTTCGTTTTAGAACTGTCGTCTATTCTCATCTAAATGGTTTAACTGCCAAGTATTCTACTCTTAAAGGTGTGCATACCAAGAAATTGTCACCATTTTATGAGAATTTTTTGTGGTAATTTGAATCGATAAAGAAAATGTGGACATTTTGTCTGGCGCTATCATAATTTAACAGAGGAATAGTCTATGATTCCCAGTTATATCTCGAAAAATATTGAAAATAACTCTGAAACTTGTATTTATTCACGAAAGTCCTACATATTTCCCTTCATGTTTACTGATACATTTTCCTCTGATTTTGTTTTAGTGATGTGGAATAGCAGTATAATACACAATGAATGCTGTGTCCCATTCGAAACCTGTCAGGTGGATGTATTTACTTTCCAGGTAGTCATATGTTGCCCACCACTCACTGAAACGTGAACCCAGCATCCAGCTTTTGAAGTGCTGAAATATTATCTATTCACTAGACCACTGGTCCAAGAGAATTCTTTATTGAGAGTGTCTGAATATGAATAAGGTAGGAAAACAAACTCTTTCCATAGTGTCATTGCCATGCATTCATAAAAGCTATGAAACGGAAAACTTGAAATCCTTCAAAATTGTCAATAGACAGTATAGTTCAATTCTCCTCAGGATGGCTGAAGCAACTGATATCAGACGCCTGAAACCTGACTTGTGTTCAGAAAGAAGCTCTTATCAGCATTTCCTTACCGTGGACGTCTTTACTTTCTCCTTGTCTATTATTTGATTACGTAATCTTTGGCTTTAAACTCTTCCCCTTCTCTACGACGTAATTTTGCCTGTATTTTGTTTATTTTATTTGATGTGGCATTGTTCTCTGAGCTGGATAGTTCACTTGCGAAGATTTCATTGCCTCACTACTACGCGACATCCTCAGCACATATTTAAGTTTAGTGAAGTCAGCTTTTGAAATTTATCCACGAGTCTATTAGTTGTCTCTCCTGACAACCACCTTGAACATGACTGGTTGCTTTTTTGTGTTTTCACTCCCTCTAGGCTACTAGTATTGGTAATGCTGTTGATTGTTTCCTTGACCTGAAGTTTGACTCTTTGTGTATGAGATTTCCTTGTTGTCGATTGGTAAATTTTATCTATGACAATGTGTCTATTAATTGCTGATTCACTGGAATACCAGGCTTTTAAAAGTTCTCTGCCGGTCTTTGTGTTTCCTTAGTCTACGGTTTTCAAGGAGAACACAAAGAAAATCGTCTCATCATATATTAAGAACGTCCCAGAAATCACTACAAGACTCTACAAACCCTAAGGAATTGGTGTTGCACACAAACCAACAAAGTTAGTTGACTCAGCTTTGTGTCATACAGAAAGACTCAGCAGCGAAAGAACGTAAAACCAACATCATCTACAAAAAAATTGTACCGATTGCGAAAAACACTACATTGGCCAAAGTGGACGCCCTGTTCGTGTTACTCCCATGAACACAAACTAGCTGTCAAAACGAATGATGTCCACTCCTTCGTATCACTGCATACAAACAACGGAGTACATCAATTTGACTGGGAAAACTTTCAAATATTAGACAGAGAAAACACCAAGACCGGCAGAGAATTTTTAAAAGCCTGGTATTCCAGTGAATCAGCAATCAATAGACACATTGACATAGATAAAATTTACCAATCGATAAGAAGGAAATCTCATACACAAAGAGTCAAAATTCAGGTCAGGGAAACAACCAACAGAAATACCAATACTAGTAGCCTAGAGGGTGTGAAGACACAGAAAGCAACCAGTCACGTTCAAGGTGGTTGCCAGGAGAGATAACTAATAGACTCGTGGAGAAATTTCAAAAGCTGACTTCATCAAACTGAAATATGTGCTGAGGATGTCGCCTAGTAGTGAGGCAATGAAATCTTCGCAAGTGAACTATCCAGCTCAGTGAACACAACTACATCAATATCATCCAACTGAGCTACTAGTCTTCTCCATTGTACTCACCACTTTCTTAATCACCCGTATTAGTCTCTGATTAACTTACTCAGCTTTTGGTCGTTTTACATAAACTCCTCTGCCTCTGTATCCCGGGTGTTAATTTTGTTTAAACATGAAGCTTCTGTATATAAGTTATAGAAGCGTAATTTCTGAGCACCCCTTATTAATTTTGGAGTCTCCATTTAACTGCTATAATGTCACACTTCGCACATAAACTTAATTGATTCGGTTAGGCTGCAAACAGCTAATGAGAAGCCAGTAAAATAAATGATGGCGCCTTCTTATTCTGCACAGATCGCTGTCTTTATTTTATTCAAACTCAAAGTGGGGGGAAAGTAAAAGAAATGTCTAAATTTCTTGTATTCAAGTATTGGTTTGTAGGGATTTGATTGATTTTTTACAAGATTTCATCATGAGCTGACATCATCGTTAGAGAACCATTGGAAAACCATCTGGGAGTACTGGACAGCCAGTTGTTTTGTCAGACTTATTTGGGACTCTTCATCAGTACACGCTCACCGCCAGGGTTCGAACCCATGACTTTCCGGTTACAAGACGAGCTCGTAAACTAATAAGCCACTGGGATCCGATCCAATGGCCAGCTCATGAGTTCCAGCTTCTACCAATTCACGATATAGTGTGACCACTAGCCAATGTCATCTGTGGAGAGTAATCGTCCTCACGCCTCACCTGCTGTAGTTTAATTTCATTAGACTGAAGTTTCGAGTCTTTGTTGGCACATCTACTTCTAGTGTAGATGTTAAGATTGAACCGGTGCTTTTTGTTTCATTGACCCCGTTGTCACTAGACACCAGTGATCAGATAATACTAGTTTGAATTGAAGGCATCATAACAGCCTACGTACTAGGAGCTCATATGTTTATCAGGAGGGGTTGAGAACTGCATTTCAATCAAATTAAACAACGTTTCAGTGAATAAGGCTACTTTTATATAATTTTACTTCTCTGTGTCAAATATCATGTTGATTTATCTGCTCTGGGTATGTTCACTTTGCACTGCATTTATCTTGAACGCTTCTTCTCTGAAATGACTATGGAAATAACCATAAGCACACCACAGAAATGTTTAATTACTTTATTGAAGTATTATCAGCTAACGGACAAGGTTAAATGATACATCAGAATAAAGGTCCTCAAAAACGTGTAACGAAAAATACAAACGTCTTGCTCTTACAATCGGAATGGTGGGCTGTCCCCAGGAAAGTTGGAGAACTTACGGTCATCTCCAAAATCTGAAAGGATCAAATAGTGTATGAACCTGTTCTGGACACCGGAGGCTACTCCACTGTCTTGTGAATTAACCTTCAAGTCAGAAGCTTGGGAAGAGGTGGACCTTTAAGACAACCACCTGCTTCAGTCTGGGAGTCCTGAAAGTAACACAGACCTCTCACAAACTATAAGATTTTGTTTGTCGCTTCTTTCAGTATCCATTATATGCCAAGTTTGCGATTTAAAATAGTAATAATAATAAATAATCACAATATGACAAATATATCTCTTACCTAGAGCAGATAGTATAGCTGCTGTCCAGAAGACTTCACCAAGTAATGCTGGTATAAACAGTAGGCCACACATACGTTCACCATATTTATGTTGAAATGGATCCAGCATTGTAACATAACCCAGTGTACGCATTCGATTCGCGAAGAATAATCCACCTGGATTAAATAATGGTAATAATAATAGTTAAGTAATAAGCATATATACCATTTGTTATTTTGAAATTACTCAGTACACGGTGAAAAATTAGTTAACTCATCTTTCTTTCGGATTCGACCACCGAATGATTTCAGTTAGAGAACCATTGAAAACCAGCTAGGAGTACTGAACAGCTGTTCTATCCTAGTTTGAGAATCATCAGCGGTAGGCATCCACCGTCAGGGTTCGAACCAAGGATCTTCCGGTTACAAGGCAAGCTCGTATACTACCATTCAGTCACTGAGAGCCGACTCCTCAATGACCATCACATGAATTCTAACTTCTAGCAATTCGTGATTTTTAGCACGACCACCAGTCAATGTCATCGGTGGGAAATTCCGACGGGATGCACCTTACTGGTGCTCTTAGCCTCTTGGTGGGGGTACTGAAGACTTTCATTAACAGCTGACTTCTCTGGCTCCATACTGAATATCAGATGACCGGTAGGAATGGATTAGCAAAAGAGAACTCTGGTAATGGGCCATTCTGAAATCTATTGTCCAAAAATGTGTAGAAGTAGTTGGAGATGGATAAGACATACATTTTGAGGAGTCGAGAACTAATGAACTCGCTGAAGAAGGAGGCAGCGAAGACAGGATTCCAGGTGAACATAGAAAAGACAGAGGTGATGAAGATAACCAACCAACCAACAACAACAACAGCAGCAACATCCAGCGCCAATCACCATAAACGGGAGAGATTTGACACAGGTTACTTCCTTCACTTATCTAGGAAGCACGGTTTGAACCACAAGTAAAAGACACACATGAAGATGTTAAAACCAGCCAGAGTCAGAAAGGAAAGATACGCCTTCATCAACCTGAAACCAATTTGAAAATCTTCTACACCCATTCAGCATGAAGAACAAGATTCGGATTCTATTCAGCACAAGTGTGAAGTCAGTCAGTTCTTCTCTACGGGTCAGAAACTTGCACTGCATTTCACGGAAAGGATTTCCAAGGGGTTGCAGACTTTTATCAACAGTTCTCCACTTCACTGGCTCCATAGTGAAGATCAAATGTCTAGAAAGAAAGAATTTACAACAAGAACCTCTGGCAACAAACGAACTAGGAGCCGACTGCTAGACATATATATATATATATATAGGAAAAAATGGAGATGGATCAGGCGTAAGTTGAGGAGGCCGTCGGATGACATCGCTCGAGGGGTATCTCAGTGGGAGGCAACAAATGGGTTATCGGTGCGAGGTTGACATAGAGAAGGTCGTATGACGCGGTACGGAGGAGATGAGATATTATGGGCAATTGTAGATCCAACTGAAGAGAACAGCAGAAAATAGAAAAAGGTGGAGATGTGTTGCTGAAGCCCTGTGTTACATTCGGAACCCAAGGGAATAATAATGATTAATAGCAATAATATGAGAAGTCTGTTGAGTAGTAATACACGCAAAGCACGTCCTCCAGTTGAACCCATATGGGAAGCAAAGAGTTGGGTATTCCAGCATGAAAATGAAGCGATAGAGTGACAGGGAAATGGGAGGCTATTGGCAGATGTAGAGGCAGCTATAGATAACACTGCAGCACACAGCAAAATGACAGTTTGATGTTGCAGCCTCATATTTTACCCGGAACTGAAGGAAATAATAGAATCACAATAATCAGAGTAGGGAAAATATCCAACTGCAAAAGTTTTTTCAGTGAACAAATAGACTTAACACGTGGTTGATGTTAGTAAAGTTTTACAAAACAAAAAAACGTTTGATAATTTATGTTAATAATTTCTTTTGAGTAAAGCGAAAACAATTTCTCTTTGTAATGTGAATGAGACAAGAAAACAAGGTGATAAGAAGTATAAAAAAAGAAAGAAAAGAGCGTAGGTGTTATTTGCCCATCTTTTCACACACGGAATCATCCGCCTACACAGTTGAAGCTTTTATTTACTCTATATAGGTTTGCGTTTGAGTAAAACCTACGGTTATTTAAGGAAAATGTCGGTTTTAGTTATATGTATAAGTGTAAACATTTAAACCATAGGATTGGTCTGGCTCAAATGGTCTTAAACTAAATCCAACTAAATGTAATACTGTTGATTTCAGCTTGAGAAGTGAAAAAGACATGCATGGATTGATCCAATCTCATGATTGTTGTAATATTGATGGTAACATGATAGAGAGTAAGTCAAGTGTTTCTTATCTTGGCATTAGTTTCTCTTCAAACCTTTGCTGGTCGTCTCATATTCTTATAGTTTCTAAGAAGATTTTCTGTCTGACTTGTTACATAAAGAAGTTGAGGCACTCAGGTATAACCCAATTTCTTCTCATACAATTTATTAATTCATGTGTTTTGCCCATCATTCTTTATTGTTCTCCATTATTCTTCCCTGGGCTACTCAAGAAAGACCATATAATACTACGAAGAACATTGAAGGCTGTAAGTAGGGTCAGTGCTATCCCTTTGACTCAACTAACCGACACTGTTTTCAATAGGCACATGAATTCTTGTAAACACTTAGCTAAAGTTATTTTGTCTGATAGTGAACATCCTCTTTATTCACAATTGTTTCCTTGTATCTCTTCGGGTAAGACCAGAAGAAATTTCATAAACATTTATGCTCGTACTACAAAATATAAAAATTCGACCGTACCATATTTGGCACGAGTATTGTGTGAAGAGACGAATATCAGAAAAGAACTTTTACAACTTCTAAATCATTAACTAAACTATAAAATGTAATGATGCATATAATTGCATGTGTGATTTGTTATATTATTTATTTATTATTCACTATAACCTAGAAATGATGTATTTTGTTGGCGTTTTTTATTTTTCCTATTAACTATCAATATTTTTAAAATTTTATACATTTATATAATTATAAACAGAGCTAAACCATTGCAATATGTAAAAGAAACGCTGAAAATTCCATGCTGTAAATTGTTATTGTTGTGGAATAAAGTGATTATTATTATTATTATTATAATTCAGCTCGGCGTTTCTCAGTAGGGACCCTTTTCATCTTAAACGCTGGTAAGTGATGTGTTACTTTCATAGATCAGAAACAAGGGTAGGATAACACTGCAAGCCTGATCTACACTCACTCTCGGTTAAAAGATTGACAATTAAATGGTTGTGTGTATATTATATGCTGAGCAACAGCAGAAAGCAAATGATAAGCAAGCTGATTTCTAAGAAAATTAAATCCAAAGACAGATGACTGGGTTTTTGGAGGGATGATTTTAGGGAGCAATTTAACTGGCTTATAGCCACCCATGAACTTGCGCTGCGTCCGACGCCTACCTGAAGGGATGACAAACAGTAGTTTCCACCAGGAATGTCCACTGTCCCCATTTTTGTTTAATTTCATTATAGTTGTACTAAGGGAAATAACGTTAATGAATTTAGCGACGCGGAGATGTATAATATTGTCCACCTAGGCAAAGACACTGATAAAGTACAGAGTCTTCTGAACACCTCAAGCAGATATCTTTGAATATTTGGCATGCCATTTGCTCTTGTTAGACGTAAGACGATGATACAGGGCTGGACTACACCAACTCCTAGTTTAAAGGCAAAGAATGAAGTGGTGTAGCGTGTTGACCAGTTCATTTATTTGTGAAGTTGCATCTTTCATGGTTAGATGATTGCTAACAGTATCTCAGCACGTATACAGAAGGCTTTGAGGGCATTGAAAAGCTTGAGTCATCTTTGGAGCAAGCGTAGCGCTAATGATGTAGATAAGTGTGTCTGAATTCATCTTTTCAGAAATTGATCCATTGTTTAGGAAAGACCTCACAGATTTACCGAACTAGGATAATGTAATCACTTTGGATAATGATGCTGACAAACTGGCAAGGTCTTTTGAATACCAGGAGAAAACATAGGTATGTATATTTCGCATGGGATTTGAACCACCCCCACCTTTTTATTTCTTATTTTTTATTCCTTTACGTTCCCAGTGGAATATAGGGCTTCAAGCTAGAGGCTTGAAGTTTCAGTAGTAGTGGTGTTTATTTTTACGGGATGAGGTAGCTTGCCTCATGCCCAACCTTCCCTCTTTACCTGTCTTCTTACTGACTTAGAGAGGTAGAGGAATGTGTCGGCCGGGGTTCGAACGCCGGACCACATGAGGCGTCGTCGGCAAGCGTTCTACCTCTGTGCCACAGACTCCACCCCCACCTAGTTAAATCGAATTTAATTCTAAAGGACTGATCATTACGAATACCTGGTCTAAGGATAGAAAGTGAAGTCGTGGAATGTATTGAACACTTAATTTGATTTTGAAGTCGTGTCAAATCTTGTAGGCTGATTGTTGATAAAGTCTCAGAATTCATACACAAGGTTAGCTTGACACTCATTAATTTTTATCGTCTTTGGTGCAGTAGTCATATCCGACACCCTCTCAAAGGGTGTATGTACTGTGCGGTGGTTTGTCTTGTTCTGATTTTCGACTCTGATAAATATTGAGTGAAAATAAAGGACTTGAAACAGTTAAATGCTTTCAACGATAGATATCTTCTTGGAGCAACATTTTCTATTTATGATAAAACACCCTTTTCCTCTACCACCAGTGTTGGGTGGTATAGAAGTACACTGAGAAAGAGCTTTTAGTAGTCAAACCAAAATATCGCATTGATTCATGAAGTAATTGATCATTTGTCAGTCCCATATGGAAGGAGTAGGTTGCCTGGAAATGATCCTTGAGATGCCGAGAATCCGTGATTTGTAACTCTGCATGATATAGCTGTAATGAATGAAGTTCGCGATTTATTAGATGTCTTAATACGTGATCATCTTCTCAAATTCTGAACATTACTACTCTGCTGGGCTGTAGCACTTTGTTCTTCTCATTTGTGTGCTTTTCCAAAAGCGTCACGAGTTTATATGTGGAAGATTCGTTAAAATTTGTCAGTTAATCAAACACAACATTGATTTTTAAAAATTATAATAGCTTGACTCCACACAGTATTTTTGATACAAGTATGGAATTTGCAGCATGTGAT